GTAACACGCAAAATACAATAACCTATAATTGTAACACATAAAATTGAATGATCTATAACTGTACAACGTAACATTCAATGATCTACAGCTGTGCCATGTTAAATTGAATCACTTCAAATGGAATGACCTTACAATTGAAAGTATTCTACACAAAATAAAAACCATTGACGAATCACGAAGACCAAAGAGCAATGACCCTGCACTCCAATGTCTCTTATTGTCAAAGGCAACTCCCGAATACCTACACTTTCATTCTAAACGATTCGATCAATTACTTAAATCAAATGTCCAATTTCAAATTCAAACAGCAGTTCCACAGATGTCGCTGCGCTCGCTCGAATCAGAGTGCAAGCATTGGTGCCCTAGCGTTGGTATCACTGGATGATATTCGACAATCGATAAGTAAACTCACTAGTGGAAGCACGTGGTGTGCGCGTTGCTCACGCTACGATAGAAATGTGTGAACTGTGAGACTTTTCTGTGCCTTTTTATCGCAATTCACGAAGAGTTCAATGATCGACACTTCCCATCGAAAGGTAACACTACAAAGGTCAGAAATTTGCTGGTATGTTGTAATGACTATAGACCCCTTTCGCTTGTATATACAGGGTGTTAATTTTAACTCAACACCTACATTACTTCCGCTCTTATCGGAAGTAAGAAAACATAAGTAAATAGGACGCATATGGTTTTATGATTGTATCTGACGGTGATAAAACAAATCCTATAAGGATAATTTTATATAGTCATTTTTTCTTATTTTCAATAATAGCGGAAATACTTTAGGTGATCGAGTTCAAATTGACAAGCTGTATGTATAGTTAGAAGCAGAACTTGGTGAACCAGTTTACTGGCACTCTCAACACTGGTTGATTTTTAATCTCATCGATTAAAGAATCGTTAAATACTGATAACTAGTGAGCCCATAGAAAGTCAGACGTCAAAAATTTAACACTTAATCAATGATCATTATTTCTGTGAGGATACGAATACCACGTGATAAATTGGAGAACGCCTGCGGCGAGTTTAAATCATGAATCATTCGAACAATTGAGATGTATAGGAACCGGGGATCATCGTGGATATCGATTTGTTATCGAGTTTACTACGACAAATAACGTTTCATAATATTTCTGAATTAATGGAATTATAGTGATACACGTGTCGAATGAATATTAACGAACTCGTGATTGAGGGTAATTATAATCTGTTGTCTGGACTGGCGGTTAATTTCAATTGTGCCGCCAGAGGTATTCCCATAGAATTTTTGTGAAAGGAATTACGAGGCCGAAAGTTTCAGTGATTTCAAAGTGGAAATGCAATAATTATTCATGCGCATTTAATCGCAGAGCTCAATGGAATACTGGATGCGTGACCTTCGTTAATTTGTGTCGATAAAAATTCATTATGTGCAATACTTTTGAACCGTTACACAATAACTAAATGTTTGCAAAATTACAACCTTTCTTAAAATAGATTTATAAATTGTAGTATATTTGTACCGCCTAATAATCAATCGTGAGCGCCACTCACAATATATACAACAATAAAATAGGATACATACGACAAACTTCGACACTACATATCTAGAAAGTAGATTTTCTTATCAGAATTCTCCGAATACAAATATCAATGATAGTCCAGCGGTTCAACAGTGCATCCCGGTTACGCACGCTATTGCAAAACACATTACGCAAGTCAAATTGCATATTACGATACTTGAACAGTTGAATGGCATTTTAAAAATACCTTATCTTTCAGCTCGGGATAATAACATACTAATGTAGGTCTCCTAATCTTTATCAAATGAATATTATCAGTAATAATTATTACTATTTTTAAAATAATAACAGTCCAGATAATAAAAAGATGGAACCACTATAACTATGAACTATTATTTTCTTATTGAAATAAATTTGCATATTAATTATGAAGAAGAATGCAGCGTTTCGAACGCATTCAATGGACATATCACTGCAAAACATATTACACCAGTTACACTACACATTACCTTCCATGCACAATTTCCTCATGACAATATTATTTCATCTGTCATGTAAGGACAACAACAAAACAATACGTGTCCCTCCTTGATTATTAAATTAATACTACCGCGAACAGACCAATACATTCTTAGCCCAATATACATGGTGGTGAAACGCACTACGTTCTACGGACTACGTTCCCTTGCATTTGACGCTCACACGCCATTCAATTGGCAAAGGCGGACGTCACTACGTTCTGGTCTCTACGGTGTATTGCTCCACGAACCCATCGACATATCGATGCAGTTGACGTAACTTAATACGTCTTCTTTTTGCGTTCGATGTTCGTACGGTTCACGGTACACTGTTTCAGTAAAGGAACCACAAAAGCGATTCATTCGCACGGTATCAACGAACGTAGTAACATGCGCCGTGGTATCGCGCCAACTGCTGTCACATGCTATCCTGAGAACGCACTACTACGTTCTGTTCTCTAATATGATGAACGTATTGGTCCGATGGTCGTATCATGCATTGGTTCACGAGATCAATGATTTTATTATTTGGAAGGTCATGTTTCGTGCAGCTTGTGTTACACATTTTCCAGTGCATTTCATTCGACAACAATATTATAGATTAATGTAACATAATATCTATAGTAATTGAAAATATCAGTAATAATTAATATCCCACATTGGTCGACGAGTTCGATCAAATTAATCATACGATAGTGTTTCATGCCACTTGCGTTATACGTCCTGCAGTGTATTGAATTGAAAAAAAGGAACGGATTTAATCAATGTCCTTTTCTCAACGTGTTTAGAATTAAATGAAATTGGTTCAGTCTTCAGTAATATTCAATGAAAATAAATTTAGAGTTCTTGTGTTCCGTAGTATATTCTTCAATTGCTGAATTTTTTGTTGAACAATCTTGTAGCCCCTCATCTAATTTATGATGATGAAAATTAATTTAGAATTCTTGTGTTGCGTAGTATATTCTTCAATTGCTGAATCTTCAGTTGAACAATCTTGTAGCCTCTCATATAATTTATGATGATGAAAATTAATTTAGAATTCTTGTGTTTCGTAGTTATACTTCAATTGCTGGATCTTCAGTGGAACAATCTTGTAGCCCCTCGTATAATTTATGATGATGAAAATTAATTTAGAATTCTTGTGTTCCGTAGTATATACTTCAATTGCTGAATCTTCAGTGGAACAATCTTGTAGCCCCTCATCTAATTTATAAATAAAATTAATAAACCGATTGTAAAAGGAGATCAAATCCATTGTTTTCTTCTAGTTGGAATCCTTGTGAACTTGGCACGCAGTTACCTAATAATGTTTATTGTTACAGTTGCAGAGATACTTTCTCGAATTATCTCTGTCGATCCTAGCACGATTCGACCACGTGAAAAGTCTAACAGATTGTGAGCGACGCTTACACGATATACAAGCAAAATGATCACATAAGAGATAGGTATAAGATGTAGAAGCGCACACAAGCCAGCAGTCCCGTTTCAATTGATCTCGCAGAGTGACAAAACTGAACAGCATTTACAGAAGACGAGGTAAGTGAATTATATTAAATACTCCCGATAGTGAATGGAAAATAATGCCAAACTCATGATAATAAAAGAAACATAAAGAAAATTTGATTTTGTTTTATAACCTTAAAATAAATGTTTACTTGAAATAAATAAATTTTGTATCATTAAAATAAATTATTTTTGTTTTGCTTTAAAGAAATTTTAATATATTTTTTATCACTTAATATTAGCTTTACTGGAACATTAAATCTGATAATAACATTTAACATTATTGCATTTCACTATGAATATACTTGTTAGATATCCAATAAAATTATCTCGAACTCTTTAAATAGTAGATTTAACTCTGCTCATATTTGGTTAATCTAAAAGTAGATTTATCATTTTCCGAGAACGTCTTTTGCAAACGCAGAATACCATTTCGCTTATCTTGCAGTTGGGCACAAACATGAGTAACACGCACAGAAGATGGAAGAAATACTTCGAATGGGTGAAACATATATCGGTGGAACCCACCATGTGGCTTTACATGATGGCGTTCATGATAACTTCGGTGGTCGAGCAAGCATTTTTCGTTTACAAAGCTTGCCGCGTCAATCATGGATACTCAGAAGAGATCTGTTCTAAATTGAAGAACAACGAGACCATTAACTCCGCAGTTCAGGTAATTTCGAATTCCAACACTATCGAAATTAACCGGGACAATTATCCTCTTCCTAAGGCTACCTCCAGTAGGAACAATGATCAAATACCTATAGACCTTAAAACAAACTATATCACAACTGTGGAACAAAGTGAGCGCAATTGAAGACACATCCAATTGATACTGAAACTTAGTAACAAGAATTGCCCAGTAAACAATGACAAAGTGTTTCTACCGATTATAAAGATAAGCATATCAAGATGTTACTCAATATACATTAGCTTCTGAACGGAAATCCTGATCTAGCACGTGTCTCCGATTGCAATTCAACAGATCTACAGTGGAAAAAGCTACGTTGTAATAACAGAAGGGAATCGAATTTTAATTTGTAGTAATCGCAGGTGACTGTATCGGAGTTCCATCAGTATAACAATATAGCTGGTCACGTGGTGCCTATCATACTAGCCCTTTTCTCTGGAAACTGGAGCGACAGGCGTGGACGCAAACTGCCATTGCTATTAGGACTGATCGGCAAATGTATATATTCATTCATGATAGTGATCATCTCCATGATGAAAACATGGGATCTGTACACCGTCGTGTATGCTGCAACTTTGCCTATGGGGATACTGGGTGGCAATGTTGCAATCTTCGGCAGCTGCTTCGCGTACTTATCAGATATCTCCTCGGTTAAAGAAAGAACGATTAGAATTATTATCCTGGACGTCGTGTATCTCAGCACTATGCCCACAGGTACATCCTCTAACTGCCTATTAGCTACCACCAAATCCTTTAATAATAATCAAGATTCTGTTCAATTAATTCTAACAGAAACATTACTGCATCTAGAAGAGTTCTAATGATCGATTTCCTGTCACAGGAGTAGCACTCGGCTCCTACCTATACACGGAGGTGGTGAATTCGTCGTACGCGAATATGTTTATTATCAACACGAGCCTGCTAGTTGTAGCCATACTCTACACGCTGATAAGGCTGAAGTGGCAAACGCTGTCGCAACAGCAGTCGCTTTTAGGCACCAATTTGTTGACGGACTTCTTCGATAAGAAGCATGTGGCAGCGACCATGAAGACACTAACAAGACCAAGAAGGAACCATGGCAAGATGCACTTGTGGCTGCTCCTGCTGATCATGATGCTATACACATTCCAACGGGACGAGAAACCTATGAGCTACTTGTACACGCAACTGAAGTTCAAATGGGACGTAGCCGCCTTTAGCAACTTCAGGACATTCCAGTCAACCACGTTCGTCGTAGGTTAGTCGCTGAAAAGACAATACAGAACTCTGAAAGCAAGGGCCGATGTTAGCGACGAGGTATTAACTTGTTTCAAACGGCCGAAGTGAAAGGAGAAATCTTATTCGACGCGCGAGAGATGACTTTCACTCTTGCCGAGATCTCTCCCGGCAGCTAAATTGTGAAGAGAATCTTTTCATTTTCAGCGATGCTAATCGGCGTGCCGGTGATGAGCAAACTGCTGGGGATAAGAGACACTTTCATCGTGGCGATCGGAGCTACCTCGCACGCTCTTGGGAGAATAGTATTCGTGTTTGCAAAAATACCAATTATGTTCTACGTTGGTAATTAAACCTGTTTTTCAACGTTACTCGAAACGAGCGCAGAATTTTTTATTCTGTTGAATATATTTAGGCGCTGCCGTGGCTGCGTTGGGTCCCGTAGTGGCACCTGTTTTAAGATCAATGACATCTAAACTGGTCCCGGTGGAAGAGAGAGGTGAATGAATGATACATTCGGGGAATAATTAAACCTTTGCATTCGACGGTTCCTTAATGAAAAATGTCTTAATCAGATATAGACTATGTTTGTTGACATAGTATTGCATTATATTTCAACTTTATAAATTTACCACATCAAACCAAGTCGAAATTGAGTGCAACGTGTTAAGTTGTTTCTATAGAAGAAGGATACGCATTTTAAATTCATGGAATTTCCATGCTTCTAATTGTAGTTTCTTTAAAAGTGCTTTGTAGAAGCGGTAGATTCTAGGAAGATGAATTTAAATTTAATTCTGTATTACACGCAGCATGTTCCATTCTCATGCAAGTCTTATTCGTAGGTAAAGTGTTTGCGATGCTCTCCGTATGCGACAACGCTGTGCCTTTGTTCAGTGGTGTGTTATATTCTCAACTCTACAATGCCACTATCCACACGGTTCCAGCTTCCATCTATTGGCTGACGTTCTCCACTCAATTATCGGTGTTTCTACTGATTTTGTAAGCGAGCATATGTGAATTAATGAAAACTTCTGTAGCTACACGTGAACGTAGGTTTAATCAGATTATTCAATTTTAGGGTAATTCATTTCACGTTAAGAAACGGATCATGGCAAAATCACGAAGAATATATTGATAACGAAATTACGTATCCGTCTGAGTCTTCCATATCACAGTATGACACGTCAGTGAACGCTGAAGGGAAATAATATTTATGGAATGTTACTGAATCTGACATTCCGACTACTTTTATATCCCTTGTTTACAAATACAGATATTTTATAGAATTTTATAGACGACGAACGTTCAAGATTTATACTTAACTATATACTATAAGAATTATAAGACGTTACTAATTGTAAATATGTGAACTGCGAATTACAAACACCGATGTTGTACCTTGAAAAAAAAATTATCTTACCATGTTGAACGAAATACAGTATTGTATAACTGTTATTACTATGAAATGTTTTATTATTCACCTACAATTAAGAGGCTGACAGAACCTGCTAACGTGCGAAGTGACCTGTGACGTGAATTATACAAAAAATTGGAATATTTTATGATAATTGGCTTGTTCTGTCGACGATTTAAATGCACCAGGAAACTATGAGACGTGAATCACGCGGAGTCTCATTTAATCCGACAATGAAATGTGCATCTCGTTATGCGATGTAATGATTCATTGCAGAACCTCACACCAATCAATCTATTCCGAATCATAAACAGCAACTGCAACTTAGATCTTTGAAAAAGCTAACAGCTGCGTATTTGTACAGCTTAAAGATGACACACGTTTACCCATAATCACGTTCGCGTTCGACTGTCAACTTTCAACGAAGCGATTAGTATTCTAGAGCTGATTGCAGACAAGCGGGTCAAGGACCGCTCGCGAATTATTGTTTACCTCTTAGAACTTTCGACAACGAGGTGGAAAGGGTAGCTGTCATTTTGTCAGAACAACTGTGTCCTAAAAGATAGGAAGTATTCACAAGAAATAAATCAAATATTGAGTTGACAACAAATTTGTTGCCTGTTTAGGAAAAGTTCAATGTTATATATTTAATCTTAAAAAGAAGATTATGGCCACTAATCTTTATAGTCTTCCTCCATTTATTAATTAGACTATTTACGCCGGATGTAAAGGAGACCCTTTGACCATAAATAAAAATAATAAAAATTGAGCATAAATTGGTTTCGCGTTAGAACTCGTAAGGCTAAAGTGCCGAAAATGAATTTTATTTTCATTCAAAATAAACATTTATTCTTCAATTTTGAAACATCAGAAAATTATCCCAATTCTAAAAATCAAATGTAATAACATCAACTTTCGATTGCCCCCAAAATCATCCAGATCATACAATGGTCAACGGAAGAGTAAGCGTGTCAATTGGAGAAAACGAGAAACGACAGAACATTCCTGTCAATGCAATATAAATACAGGGCATTATCAAGATATTCATCATAAAATATTAACAACTGATTACAATTAGAATATTCGCAAAATTTTAATTCTCGTGACCCATCAATTAAGCAGAAAAGAAACGATCAACCGCTGAAGAGTTTTAATCTCGTACAATAATACTATTATCCACAATTTAAATGATCCCCCGGATTAAGTTAATATTGTCACATTTGCCTTTAAATCGTTCAGCCACCGGTAAAAGTGTGATAAGGAAAGAAAACGGATATCCACGGCACGCATAAACGTAAGGAGTTCCTCGACCTACTGGTATTGTCAACGATGACCCAAATATGTGCCCTCCTCTCAAAACCGGGCAGGTATAAAAGTCATGGATCCTTTGCAAGCTTGGCTGTTCACCACAACACTCCACCAACGCAGGAAGTTAAGAAATCTACACGAGTATAGAAGACCTGAACTCTGATTTCACCATGGTAATAAAATTGTACTATTCTTTAGAAACAAGGGAAATGTAATTTGCAACACAGTTTCACACTTTACAATTCCCTGATCATTCCGACTTCCTTATGACTGCTATCTGTTCTGATTCAGACTACCAACATTATTGCGTTCGGAATTACCATTGAGAAAAAGAGACATTGAAGTTTATGCAAACAAAAGTAGACGAGGAAAAATAAAAATGAATAGGATTAAAATCTTTATTAACTCTGGAAATCTCATTCTTTCAAAAGTTTCGTCTTATTATTGACCTCCCTTAATCATTAGAATATAAATTTATGATAACCTTGCTAAACCTTAGTTCCTTTTTACATGGTTAAATTATTATAATATTCAATAAGCGAGCAAAAGTTAAAAACATTCATTTTTTGTTTTAGAATCGACATTCTGTTTTTTGTAAATCGATGTCTAGTAATCTCATCTGATTGGAAATAAAATTTGTACGTTTAAAATATTTACCTCTGTCGACGTAACTTATTAAATAAACATCATTCAGTTAGAACAATGAGATAATTAAATAAAGTTCATTTAAAGCAAATACCCGGTTTTAACAATTATTAAATACACAGTATTAAATTTAATGAAATGAATATTAAATTAATAGAATTATTAAATGGAATGAAATTCAATTAAATTATGGCTCAAATTTTTCTCTAATATTTCCGAAAAACCAAACTACGTTTTTCAGTAACACCAATTATTTTCAGATTATACCAAAGAAGATTACTGGCATGGTCATCGCAATCCTAGCAATCCTAGCAACAGTGACAAACGCTAAACCAGCGACGACTCCAGTTCCTTCAGGAGCGATCACTATCTATCCTGTACCTCTAAGACCATCATACCAGCCGAGCGGATGGGTCTATCCGAAACCAATCCATCACAGGCCTACACAATAACGAAACAATCAAGTCTCGCTTTCTTTAGAAGTAATTACATTCATCTATCATTTTATGATCAACTGAAAAAATAGACACGTGTCTTTCAATGGAAACTTTTGTTCTAAACGTACGTAGAGTGTATGGAATAATCAACTCGTTGACTGTCAGAGATGACCAAATCGTCCAAATTGTTTGAGAACAATTACAATCAGATAGTTCATGTAGAATAAAAATATCTACTTACATAAACAGCTACGTAATAGTATAATGCGAGCACTACAATGCGAAATAATTAATATTTCTAATACCATTTACTTTTATTACAAAAGAATAAATATTACTATACAAAAGAGTCGAAATTCTCGTGTCAGTCAACATGTTAACAGTAAAAAGCAGAATTAATATAGTATACATAAACAATACTCGAAAGTCAAACCAGCAAAGATGCGGAAGTACTTCATTCCAAACGAGAACGATTATTGCCAATTGCAGGGAAAAGTTTACTGCAATTTTTCTGTATGCCAACAATTCCCGAGATTCCGCGTACGAATATTTTCTCATAAAATCGCGACACCTTGTTCAAACTATATACAGAGTTTCTCGAGATGTTGGTCTCCTACGAAAATGGGAGTCACGTAGGTGTTCTCCTTAAACGGGACGGTCACGTAACAGCAAAAATACTTATGCGTTTGTGCGGTTTCTACTTTAGTGAGTTCTCGGATAGGACACAACACGATTATTTTATTTATTGGAATGTTGAATGGAATGATTCATGTAGAATTAACTAGATGTATGATAATAATTATAATAATTGAAAATTTTCGTAGAACTGTTTGATAACTGCAATATGATTTATATAAATAATTCATCATTTTCTTTCTGCCCTTCCGTAAAAGCAAAAATAATTCTATATGTATTGTATGGAATAAATTTCACAAAGGTTTACTGTTTGTTTAGTATTCATTGAATTTCTTCTATATTGGAATGCTGACTAATACAATTCATGTAGAATTAACTGGATGTACGACAATAATTATAATAATAAACTGTTTCTGTAGAACCATTTGATAACTATAATATGATTTATGTAGATAACTGTCTTTTCATAGAAGATACAAATAAAAAATAAATTTTAAAATAAAAATAATTCCATATGCTTTCTACTGAATGAAACCGGTTGGTTTACTCTTTGGTTAGTATTGACTCAATAGTAGTATAGAATTAAGTAGCGCAAGGCGTGTGCAATCTTCCCAATACACGTGAAATATATGTACAATAAAATATATTATACACATCAGAAACACACAGTCGTAAACCATAAATAGCATAAACGCAGGCAGACGGTATAGATATAATAAATGCGTGATCACACGCAGTGGAAAATCAGATAATATAAGCATCCTAACATTTTGTTGTTAGAATTATTGTATTTATGATAAATAATTTGCCGTTTATAATAAAAAATATAATAAACGTGTAGTCATGCACAATAAACACCATAAACTCATGGTCAGACGTAGTAGAATTTCCATAGGCATGTAATCAGATAATATAAACAATCCTAATATTTCGATCTTATTATCGTTTATAAAAAACAGTTCAAACGATTAGATAAATTAATTTTAATTCAGATACTCGTGAAACTTAATCACCCAAGCCCATAAATTGGATTTAAAAATTTTTCCCATTAACACGTTAGACTTTTCGTTCAGCCGCGGCCCGTCCATGCGGACTTTAGGATCATATTACACGGCCGCGTCTGAGCCTGAACGGAACGACAAGCAAGTCGGGCTGGGCACTTAACGTATTAACAGAAGAAAAAATATTTACAACAGTATTCATAATATAACAAAATGAAGAAAAAAATAATGTACTAATTGAAATAAAAGTAAAAAATATGCTACTAGTGTTCTATTTACAATATATTCATTAAAAGAATTATTCAATTACGTGATGCATAAATAACTTAATATAAATATTAACTACTCATCTCCTAAATATCACAGTGCAATATTCACGAACTGCAATATTTGAAATATTTGAATAAGATTTGAATAATCATTGGGTCCGTTCAATTTTAACGAATAAAATCATTTTAAATATCGACATCTCGTTACACACTAACTCTCGTGTATAACTCAGCTTAAGCCATTTTTGATTGAGCTTTCACCGCAAAATCAGATAATTAATAGAAATTCAACACATAATAATAATAAAACAAATAACAGTACACAGGAAATATATCATTAAGGTCATTCCCTTGCTGAGACTTCTACAAAAGCATAATGGAACAAACTCACCGGCGATGAATAACTCGTTCAATGTGGAATTCCTGCAGGCAAGAACTCGATGTCGAAGTTAGGCCGAACCAATCCAACGTTGCTAAATAGCGAAGTCATTTTCGAAGACACTATCAACAAGTTACAATAAAAATTATAATTGAGACTACAACACTAACTTATTTATTTTTTAATTAATCTACATATTAGTAACCTGTTTATTCGTTATTCGTGATTCCTTAACAATTTTTCACGAAAATAATGATTAATATATAATTAATTAGTTTACAATTTAAATACATTTAATTAAACGAACAGTGTTCCATTATCAATTCGGTATTATATATTT